GCGAGTTTGCAAAGGTAGGGCAGCATGGTATGTTGGGACAGAGCATCAGAACAAGAGTGTCCAGATCTGGATTCTGGCCTTTGGTTCTTCTCTAATTTGGAGCAAAGTGGGATGCTGGGTGGCTCAGTTGGTTAAGCATCCAACTCTGGCTCAGGTCATGATCTTATGGTTCATGGCTTCAACCTCCGCATCGGGCCCTTTGCTGACAGCTCGGAGCCCAGAGCCTGCTTTAGATTCTGTCTCTCTGTTTCTTTCTCTGTGCCTCCCCTGCTCAGACTCTCTCTCTCTCTCTCTCTCAAAACTAAATGAATAGGGGCACCTGGGTGGCTCAGTTGGTTAAGCGTCTGACTTTGGCTCAGGTCGTGATCTCTTGGTTGGTGAGTTAGAGCCTGTGTCGGCCTCTGTGCTGACAGCCCAGAGCCTCTGGGGCCTGCTTCAGATTCTGTCCTTCTCTCTCTGCCCCTTCTCCACTAGTGCCCCCCCCACCTCAAAAAATAAATAAACATTAAAAAATAAATAAATGTTACAAGTTTTTTTTAAATCTCCAAAAAGAGTGGAAGGTTAGAATAATTGCTCTGTTAAATTCTGTACTTTAAAATTACATTAATACAAAATGAATTACATTATACGTTATATATAAATACATACATTTATATACATAAATTACATTAATACCAAATGACTTATTTCAGTCCTTAGAGGTGAATCAACTGCTTGTATATATCATATCCTCGGCCCCTCAAGGAGTTCAGGGTGAGTGGAAAGGGCAGACATCAAGCCTGGCTGCAGCAGGCCTCTGCGAAGATCCTTACAGAATGCCTTGGGTCCCAGGAGACATTCTAGAGTCAAACTAGGGGGAGGGCAGGTTCAGAGGTAACAGCTGAACTGAGTTGGAAGGGTGAATAAGGGCTACTTAACTTGGAACAGCTCAGTTTACTGGACTGGACAAGAACTTAAAGCTGGGTTACATTTTTATCAGCTTTTCCCTATCTGTGTGTACCAGGGTCTTTTTAAAGAATAGATGGCAGTTGAAGCTTTTCCCTATTTGATTATTGTTTAACCATAATCTAGTTCATTCTTTGACTACATTTGTCATTCTCTCTTTCATTCTGTTCTGAGAGGAAACTAATGTTCTATCGAAGCTTTTGTGAAAATCGTCATATTTACGTGTATGAGACTATTACTCACAGATGGCAAATGGCAAGCTAACAACACCCCTTCCCAGCCCCCTGCATTGTAGGCAGTCAGTTTCTATAAAAGTGAAGAGATGGCAGTGATACGTTAGTGATACAGAGCTACTCCGTTCAGGTAGACAGTTCCATCTGACAGCATCTCAAAAAAAATTTTTTTAATGAACATCAGTTCTGTGAAGTATAGCTAGAGTAGGCTTTATTGTTCCCCCCTTTTTGATTGTAAGGAAACTGAACCATAAAGAGATTATATTCGTTCATTCAGGTGAAATGACGTAAAGTTGCTGCTTGGAACCAGGAGCACACTTTGTTTAGAAACAGGCTTAGAGGTGTTGCTTAGATTCTGGGACTAGCCTGTGAGAAGCCTTGTTAACTCAGTGTACTTGAAATATGAAACCCACTCACCATGTTATTTTTTATTTTTCTTAAAGAAGAATTCTTTCTTATTTTTGAGACAGAGAGAGACAGACCTTGAGAGGAGGAGGGGCAGAGAGAGAGGGAGACACAGAATCTGAAGCAGGCTCCAGGCTCTGA